AGTTTTAATTGTTTTTTTAATTTTAGCTACACATACACACGCACAAAAAATTGAATATGAATAACATTAATATTTTTATATAATGTCATTGAGTATCAAAAAATATCAAATAAGTTTTTCCTCACTAATAAATTTTTATTTAATTATATATATTTAATTATATAATTAATTATATAATTATATATTTTTATTACAATAGAAATCATAGCTGATTTCTATAAGATATTAAGATATCGAAGTAATTTTTTTTCATATAAAGAACTTATGAGATATAATAAATAAGTATTTTCCTTTTGCAAAATTTTTAAAAATGTATTGTCATTAAAATACTGTAATTTTTAATGAACAAAATCAGATTAATTTGATGAAGAGAAATTCTTCGAGAGTTTGAAAATTTTACATAATTCTAAAAAATAAACTGGATTATATATATTTGTAAACAATTTAATTCTTTTAAGTAAGTTTTATTTTGTAAAAAATTTTTGAATAATTGAATAAAATCTCTCTCTCTCTCTCTCTCTCTCTCTCTCTCTCCCTCCCTCCCTCCCTCTCTCTCTCTCTCTCTCTGTCTCTGTCTGTCTCTCTCTCTCTCTCTCTCTCTCTCTCTCTCTCTCTCTCTCAGTAAAATCATTGCTATACGTAGTTTTACAAAAAATATTTGAATTTATTAATTCTGAATTCTCGATCGATTAAAATCGAAATAAAAATACAATGTTTATCCAATTCGATGAATTAGTTTATAATAGATAATTCAATTGTATTCTAAAACTAAAATCAACCAGCAAGAATCAAAGTGCAATGTTCTTTGCTTAAGAATAAAAAAGAAATACATATTTTATTATTTTGTATTAAAATGTAAATGTAATTTATTTTTTGTAGCAAAGTCGGAAATCTTCATTGATAATATATTATGTTTCAGAATATGAACTTCATATATATATGTATTAATATGCAAATGAAGACTTATCTTTTAGTAATATGGAAAATCATCGATAATTTTGGCAAAACTGAGAATTCAAAATGATTTCACACATAATATATATTTACATTACTTAAATACATATTTATGTTATATTTTATGAATAAGCAAGTAATTACTTATCTTTTTGTATTAATATCAGAAATCATCTTTTTTAACAACTATTGCAACTCAGAATAAACTTTGACAAAAGAAATCGCATGCCAATTGTATCAATAAGAATTATAATGAATATGACTGCGGCATTTCCGGAGATATATCAGCAACAATGAAGCTATATAAACAATTTTATCAGCATAAATTTCTTAAGATTAATTTGCCTCTCATATCTCAATAATATGTAAATTTTGCACAATCTTGATATAGAACTTTTGTAGAAAATAATGAATCACATATAAGCACATAAATTAATAAGTACATAAATTTTATTACATTATATTTTATTTATTATTTTATTACATTTTATTATATAATTAAAATAATATGTTAAATTATATAATTAATATGTAAATAATATGTACAATTATATAATTAAAATTTATATTATTATAATATGGTTATTTTAATTAAACATTTATTTATAGAATTTTAATTAATATTTATTTATAGAATAGCAAATTATTAACAAATTAAATTATTATCAAAAGAGACATACAAGATGTTAACTTCATATAATCTATAAAAATACTGCAGAGATCAGACTGAATTGTATTTATCAAGCAAATATTAAGGTTTATAGCTGCTTGGACAATAATGTCATATAAAGCGAATCTTGGTGGAGAATAAAAATAAATAAATGTCGCAAATAAAAAAATTCATGCAAAGTTATATATGACTTTAAAAAATTCAAATAACTTATACATGGCGTGCACCTATACGTATATGTAGGCGTATCACAGATGTGATTAGCGCAAACACGCGGCGATCTTTGCAACCAGCGATCTTTGCCATTTCAATCACGTGGACCATGCTTGAACTTCAGCCGAATATAATTCATTATGCAGTCTGATTACTGTAATCTATTAATGGTACATGACTAATTGCATGAACATAGTTCATGTGAATCATGTTCAGTTATACGCGAAATATTATGATGCATAAAAATTGTTATTTATTCTTTCTTTTCAATGCGATATAATAGCAAAAATTTTTATTCATAATACAGTTTGCAATACGATACAATCGCACATGATTATAAAAAGATGCTAAAAACATTAAAAGATTAAATTAGAATTTGCATAACATGCAAAATAGAGATTACAAAATTACTTTTTAAATTTTGAAAAATTCATTTTATATATGTGTTTGCATATGTGATTATATTATGAAATAAAATTAGGAGTCAAGCATTTGAAAATCGATATTCATGATTTTTTTATTATGGCTCAAGGCATAAAAATATTTATATAGTCGTTAACTATCTATAATCTCTAAAGTAATTAACATAATCTCTAAAGTACTAATTGCCTTAATATATTCTTCTGCGATACTTGTTTACTCATCTATGTTTTTCAAGTTAGTTTTCTCATTTATCAATTATTTGCAAGTGAAATAAGTCGAAAAAGAATTGCTTATTGTCTTGTCCACTAAATATTACTATGTGACATATTTGAGCATGTTCCAGATAAGATAGTTTTGACTCTTTTATTTAAATGCGATAATTTCACATACAAAAAATAATATAAAAATTATGCAATATCATTATCACGCGATTGAGTTTATGCGATAAAAAAGTCTAATGTACCAAGGAGTGCAAAGTCTCCTATTCGGAATTTTTTATATTTAACATATTTTCGTGCTCAATACGATACACTTTAATCTTGTCTGCGAAAATCACGCCACCGCTAATCGAGTAAATATTCAATTTTTTCAATAATAATTCTTAAATTATTCCGTTCCGTGCGCGATTAAATATATGATTTTTATAATATATAATGTTTGTTACTAAATGTTTTTTACCGGTCATAATGTACCATAAATCTATAGCAACATATGTAAATTTACAATCATCTATATAAAACAAGGATGAAGCAAAAAAACTTACTTGTATTTTTTATTCGAAACAATATTCATTCACACCTTTTGATATTTTCAATATGAAATGACGTTTACAATTATATATTAAATATAATCGATATAAATCTTCAATTTTTAGTATAAAGCGAAGTCTATGTTATTTGCTTGAAAGCTATTTTATTTTATGCTATTTAAATTTAGAAATACTAAATAATATAAAATTATATTACTTCACGATTATAAATTACTTTGCGCAAAGTTACAAATCTGCATGGAATCACATAAAATTATAGATTTCATTTCGTACAGATGAAAAGTCTCAGATAATGCAAAAGTTTTCTTTACTCAAAAAGTTACAAACTTATATTGATATAAAATATATTAATATAATTATATAGATCTCATCACACATGCATGCATTTCTTGTAAGTACCAGAGTATCGGATAAATCTTAAAAACTTTTAAATCCATGTAAAATTTTTCTCAACTTATATATTCACTTTTTAATTTTAAATATCTTATTTAAAGATCTGTTTCTTTGTTAAATATGCGTATGCATAATAATATCTAACTGAATTCAATATTAAATATTTCATTATCAATCTAAACTTCACTTTGTACACATTTATATTCAAAAAAAAAAAAATTAAATCAAATTGAAAATTTTTAATAAGTTACTCAGAATTACGATTTCCACAATATGTCAAAGACATATGATTTTCATATAATTTAATATACAGTGAAAAAATTAAATCGAAAATTAAATAGAAGAATTAAATAGGAAATTAAATCCTTTGTAAATAACAACTTATCAATTCTTGATTTACAAAGTTTGGATTTAATTTCCTATTTAATTCTTCTATTTAGAGAAGTAATAAATGTTTCTTGGATATCAATTAAAAAGCAAAGGAATTATTAAACTAATTAACTGATAAAATTATCAAATAATAATATAATAAATAGACAATGATTAAATTAATAAATTAATTATTAAGTAAATAATAATTAATATAAAAAAATATATACTTATTAAAAATCTCAGCTATTTTAAATTTATTAATTTTGACATCAAATTTGTATTCAACAGTTTTAAAATTTTTTATATATATAGATATAAACTAAATATATAATTATATAGGAATACACAGACGTATAGACAAAAAGTATAAAAAGTTATAAAATAATTAATAGATTGCTTTTAATTATTTAATTATTTGTACAAATGTAGTAAATGTTATTACGGAATTTTCTTATTAATCTTTATAAATATATTCTTTTTTAAATGTGAAAATGCTTCTAATATAGATATTTAGTTATAAATAAAATATAAAATTTTTCTAATATATATATGTATATATATATATATATATATATATATATATAATATGATAAATTATGTTACAATATTTTAAACTAATTTTTAACTAATTTTAGTGGTGTGTCAAATATTTCTAAATTGTAACATAATAAAGTATTTTAGAAACTAAATTTATGTTCAACATGAAAAAAGTATACAAGAAATAATTATTTTCTTTATCTTCTTTGTCTTCTTTATATATATATATATCTTCCTCTTATTAAATAATATAATTTCAATGAATCATTAATTATAATCATTAATTTTATTCTTATTAATAATTTTTTGCCTTATTTATAATTAATATATTTATATTAATATATTTATAAACAATAATTATATTTCACATTAATATAATCATAAATAATATATATATATATATATATATATATATATATATATATATAGAGTATTTATGATTATATTATATATACGTATGTGTGTGTGTGTGTATATATATATACACATACGTATCATTAATAAGCGATAATCCGCATCTTTGAAGCCGTACACGAAGATGTCACGTGCAAATTGCCGGCTCCGTTATTTCGCCAAGTGACTGTATGATGTCGCCAGTGGCAGCATCGATAGTCTCTCTCTGTCTTCTTCTTTCCCTCTCTGTAAATATTACCAATAATATTTAACTCTCGCCGCGTGGTACCGGTCTCGCAGTTTCCTGTCGTTCGTTGTCGTGACTTCGTCGCTCCTGGTCTCTGGATCGTGCGTCCACCTGTACAATTCACCTGTATCCGCAGACAGCGAAATTAAGCGACGACGAAACTACCAGCAGAAAGAATAATCATTGCACGTTGGCGGGAAAGAATCACGTTTTGCTCAGCGTGTCGTCCCAGCGAAAGAAATAATTCGTTACTGCCTCCAGCATCCAAAGCTAGCTGTGAAAGTTTATAAGAAGAGAGGTAAGTCGATACGAGATTTATCTATCTATCAGATTATCCTCCTATCAAATTAGTCTACTCTGCTTTGCCAGTGTCAATCACTGCTTTTCTTTCACCCCCTTGATATGGCGGCCAATCACGCTTGTCTTTCACGATACATGACCGTAAACGTGTCCGAATAAAATTATCGAATTTTTATGGAATATATATATATATATATATATATATATATATATATAAAATTTAGAAATCATATATTTCCTCGAAATAATGAATCATGTATGTGTTCAGAATAGATATAAAAATTATCATTCATTAATAAATATATAAATTATCATTCATTATAAACCTTAAATTCTTCGCGTTCAATGCTGAAAATATTTGCACGTTAATAGAAATAGAATATATGATAATATTTCTAAGAAATAGAGAATTTTTGTTACGACTTTCACAAGGTTTTATGTATGATATATGGTCACGCGATGATACGAGATTTATCTATCAGATTATCCTCCTATCAAATTTCTACTCTGCTTTGCCAGTGTCAATCACTGCTTTTCTTTCAACCCCTTGATATGGCGGCCAATCACACTTTTGTCTTTCGCGATACATGACAGCAAACGTGTCCGAATAAAATTATCGAATCTTTATGGAATATATATATATATATATATATATATATATATATATATATATATATATACGCGTTTTCAATGCTGAAAATATTTATACGTTAATAGAAATAGAATATATGATAATATTTCTAAGAAATAGGAAATTTTTGCTACGACTTTTATAAAGTTTTATGTATGATATATGGTCACGCGACATACACAACATATTACGCAAATATATTCAGTTAAAATATATGGCTGGGTGAAATAAATAAAGTATATATTAATTATTGATTTCGTTAACGGTAATTCTACTGAAATTTTAGTCAAGAGAGGAGAACATCATATTACAAGAACTTGTAAAATTATATTTTGCATCACATCTAAATTATTATTTATACAAATTTCTCAAATGTTATGTATCTACATTAAATTTTTTAATGTTGATTTCATTATGAATTTTCAAGTGTGAGGAGAGACTTTTAACTAGAATAATTCGAAACATAAATATATATATATATATATATATATATATATATATATAATTTTTTTTTTCTTATTAGAAAACGGTAATTTATTTTTTTCAAGAAGATTAAGGTTAATAAGATGATAATAAAAGATATTAAAGAGAGAAATTATGTTACTTTATAGATTATTACTTTCAAAAATTGATAAATACGCGGAGAAAGTAAAAGATATTCGAGGAGAAAAATATAAGAAATTCACACACATGTACATTTTTATAAAAACTAAAATAATCAATCGTTTCATTCTCTTATATGGTAGAAAAAGAATATCATATATGTAATATAGTATGTAACGGTTTTTGTATGAAAAACAAGAAATCGGTTATCCTTCATAGCCTTATGCTTATCGAGAAACTTTCGTAATTTATAATAAAAGTTGCGCTTTTCTCGCCCACTCATAATCAGTCTCAATCGTGGTTGAACAATTTCTCTTTGTTGTTAAGTATATCCCTCGAGAAGTAACAAAGAGAGAAAGGGAGAGAGAAAAAGAGAGTAGGTGGTCTTTTGTGTCATGCTGCGTGTGTATTCTCAGCGTACAGAGTTACGTGACTCTCTATTTCTCATTTAAATAAGTGTAAAGATTTATAGAAGTTAAATTATAGAGACCGTGAAAACATGGCTCAAGAGAGACAACTCGTATCTATAATATATGTAACGTGGACGCAAAAAATTGCAAATTTATTACGCGAAGAAAATCTTTTTTATTGCTCGAAATAATCATATGTCCGAGCATTCAGTACAATATAGTTTGTAGTAACTATACAAATTAATCAGTTTTATTCTGTTTTTTTGTGCAATCTGTTATTGCATAAATTCTCGATTCCAATATCGCCTTATTCCATGTAATTTCTTTAATAAGATTTTTTCTCTGATGTATATCAATTCTATCTTGATATATATAATCTTTTAATAAGATTTTGTCTTTCAATAATATAATCGTTAAAATAACTTTAGTATTAGTTTAGCATTAAGTTTATCAATAAGTCATAATAATGTGACGTAAAAATGAATATGGTAAAAAAAATAACTCGTTATAAAGGTCGGGATTAATTATAATTCGATTGGTTATATATACTTGTGTTCAATGAAATAAAATAAGACGTTAAATACGGAAAATGTATATCGTTATTATACATACTTTATTATTAGTTATGCTAGAGAGAACTATGGACTGCTTCATTAATGTGTAGTTAGTTTGCACTTTGCAAATCTAAGAATTAGACATTATAATTGAAAAACGCTGTTAATATCATTAACACAAGGTGACATATAAAATAGATATTAAAAAACATTCACACACACAAAAACACAACACACAAAATGATTCATATCAAAAGAATTACAAATGTCGTATTAACTTTGATTAGATTTTGTTGAATTAATTAATCATTTCTATAATATAAAAAAAATAATATTAAAAAAGTTATGAATGTTACATTAAGTTTAGTTATTAAGTTTTGTTAAATTGGGTTTAATTATTTTATTATATTATTATTACTAGAAAGTATTATTTGTTCTATTATATTTATCACTTCGCAAATATTATTTTACTCTATAAAATGCTCCAATTTTTACTGACAATGAGTTTGAAGCTTATGTTTTGTTGTGAAATGTTTTATCGGGGAGAAAACGCAGTTTCATTTGCAAAATAACCCCATGTTATTGCTCTTCAACGCAAATAAGTGTTTCCTGTTACATCGCTCTCTATAAAAAGCACTCATTGATCGGGTTGGGGAGCTAATTGTTTGAATAATCGCTGGGTACGGTTTGAATATACATAGATTATCGGAGTTATTTCGATATTATTTATTATAAATGTTAAAAAGACTTGAGAATAGTATAATATATTTTAGTATGTAGAAGATTTAACCTTTGGACTGCCGGCACTTTTTCATTAAAATAGTGGTCTTTTATTCCCAAAGATTTTTTTATATAAATAATATATACATTAAAGTGGCTTTCGCGGCAATCTAAAGATTAATGATACATTGTAGCAATAATTCAATCAAGCAGAATTATTTGATAAATTAATATAAATGATGTTGATTTTTCTATCATTATTTTTTGCTTGGGATCTGACGCAATATTTTTTGCCTTTGTTTTGTTTCAGTTTCTTGTTTATTGCACATAATTTATTTTTTTAAATGTATACATAAAAGCAAATAAGAAATTGCAAAATTTTTCAAATCATGACAGGTGATTTTGCTGATATGTTATGTACATGTAACTAAAATATATATTACGATTTTTATTCCATTGCAACCACATTGACATCATTCTAGCTTTCAACTCACGTAGATGACTGATATTTAAAACTTCTTCAAAACAAGCGTTTCATGGAATCAATTATAACAATTAAAAATTAAATTTCTAAAATAAATTCAAATTTGTTACACTTATACAAAATTATTATTTCGTTTTCATATATTTTATATATTTTCATAACATATCAGAAACTCAGAGTAAGAGAGATTATTATTTCGAACTACTTCCGCGTAAATTGTTTCTATAAACGTATGTAAATATAATACCCGAACATAAATTATATGTCGGGCATATTTCTTAACAAAAGTTCAGATTTTTTCCAGGTTTAAAAAGTTACAATATTACATGAATATATGAATTGTCCGATCGATCTTATATGAAAGTTTACAAAGCGATGTAATTTGTAATGTTGCTGGCGAAAGTACACATGCATTCGCAGAAGAGATTCTTGTAGGATATAAAAACATATCAAAATGAGCGGATTTCAAGTTTTTGGTTAAATAAAATTGACTATTAAAATTCAGAGAAATATAATTTATTTATAGTTAATTTGTGCATTCTTTCATCTTTCTTATTGGCATACAATTTAAACAGTTAATTATAAATGTAAATTACTTTTTACTTGCAAATTGTGATATTAGTAATGTACATTCCGAGTAATTCAAAATTTATATTTTGTTTAATTAACTTAAAAATTAAATCAATTTATTTTAACATGTAAATTAAAATTTTAAATAAATTGAACATTTTAAATACGCATAAGGTATTTTTCAAATATAAAACAATTAGAAATAACTTGAGCAATTAAATAATTAAACAAGATACTTTTTTAATTTATAGCATTTTTATAGCTTTTTTAGTTTATAGCGTTACTAATGGTTTTAATATAAATCTATACAATTATTCTCGCAGATAAAATATTTGATTTTAAAAAAATTGATTAAATAGATAAAGCAGATTTATCAAAATCACGCTTTTTTGGTATTGAAAGACTTTTCAAACAAATATTTTGAATATAATCTTAAAAGAGATTTATCAATATAACCATATTATATATTTCTTCCTATCACAACGCAAATGCGTGATCGGCCGGTGTGCCAAGCAGATTGAACGCCTTACGTGATGTAATGCGCACGCATGAGGAAGTGAGATGAAACAAGACGTGCGGTTGTTATACACGTGATCCTTTTATATACGATCCATACAAGCATACTCGGCCAGTTAACGTTTATATTGCACATCGTTATTTATAAGCGTATTATTTTAAAAATTCTTTGTGTTATTAAAAAATATTGTTTAAACGTGCAAAAATATAAAAGTCGATTCATATTACGACACAACGAAATTTTCTTTTATAAATATTTATTCATCGCATTTGCAACATAAGACATTTACATGTACAAAATATCTTTAGAATATTTTATCGTTTGTACTGTCGTTTTCTATCGTAAAATATGAGCCAATTTTTACAAAAATATTTAAATAAAATATAGCTATTTTTAAATCTGTAGTAGTTCGACCTAAACTCAATTCACGAGACGTGAGTATGCATGTGTGAGTCGGCGGCGCACTCCAAACCAGCTGTTCGATCATACGAGCCGCTTCAGACCAATGT